AGTACTCACATGGAATAGATAGATTGTTTTGTTATACACAACCCATCTCATCTGAATAAAAATATACATACAATATAATCAAACCAAAACATACATACACAACAAATTTATACATAAAAATGTTCAAATAATGTACCCATAAAAAAGAAATTAATCCGATGAATAAGGGTTGTTTCTAACATTATTTTTCCAAATAATGTACTCATAACAATGTTCAAATAATGTGCCCACAACAATGTTTAATTGATTTGTTGTTTAATTTTCAATCTGCATTATGTTGAAGGTAAAAAGACCTGTTGAAGGTAAATTCGCAACGCGAAAGAAGCGTTGCGATAGTCAAATTCGCAACGCGAAAGTAAAATTTGGTTTGCGATTTCGTTTCGCGTTGCAAATTTGACTTTCGCGTTGCGAATTTGACTTTCGCGTTGATCGCAACATACAACATCAAGGTATATACAACATCAAACACATTCCAAGCTATAAATACAAGCTAAGGATACTTGAAGAAGCAAGAGAACAACTATCCAAGCAATCAAACACAAGAGAAAATCCCAACATGATAACAACTGAACAGATCATAGCAATATTCAAATTCAAGTTACTAATGAATGTCTAACTGAAAATGTATGCATTCACACATAAAATACACATAATACAACGTTTGCATTTAAAAATCACCTAAGTTAATAAGTCTCAAAAGGTAAATCCGGTTGTGGTTGGGATTTTGATTTTGATTGCGATTTTGATTTCCTTTTACTTGACACCATATGAGCTTTGGATTTTGATGAGGATCCATTTTTTGGTAGAGGAAAAGATAATTGTGATGGCACTGGTGATCCACAAGTCAACCTTGTATGACCACTTTCCTTGCACCGACTACATGTCAATATCCTCTTCTCTTCACCCTTAGACGGTATATGATCGTGATTTTTTTGTCAGCCAGGTGTCTGCTGTCCATGACTGGTGGCAAAACTGTTTGTAAGTCATCTGGTATGTCCCACTCAGAAGGATGTGGACATGGGTATAAAATCTCGACATAAGTCTATCGATATACTTCTGTAGTGTAGCAATCCATAGCGTATGCGCTTGAATCATATTGGTTTAGATGAAGAGCAACTTTTATAACATGGCCACTCGGATAACCAGATGTTTGTCATTTCTTACAACTACACGTCTTTGCGTTTAGATCGACAAGCCCATTTAAGTTATTATCTAATACTTCAAACAAAGTGTTTGAACATGGTTCAACTCTCCAGGACGTTGACTTTACAACACGTTTCGTTATCTTTTTTTCAGTCCATGGTGTAACACGACGTTTCAATGTTCCTGTAAATTTAAATAAATAATACTTAGTAAAATATATGATAAGTTACGAATTTAAAGAAATAATACCTGCATGGTTTCTTTTCTTGTAGTACCACTGGTCAATAGAGGCTCGAAAAAACTCCATTAACATAGTAATGGGTAATTTCCGGGAATGACAACTTAGAGTGCTGATTGATTATGCACTATTAGACGTCATGAAACCATATCTTGCTCCAAGTTGATGTACTCTTGACCATCTTTCAAACCCGACATCTTCCAGTGTTTGAGCACATTGAGGCAAAACACGTCTTAAACAATTTATATGCTTATTAAAATCCACTTCCTGATAAGCTTTTACAGCCTTCTAGTATGTCCATTTGTGATTTTTTATACCAGCAGACCTTGATTTTAGATTTATGTACAAATGAACACCACAAAGTCCATGAAAAACATCTGGGAAACACCTTCTAACAGCGTTGTCAATTGAGTTTGCCCTATCAGATATGATTGTCAGATTGCTAATAGGACCTATGCAATCCCTAAGATGCCCCATAAACCATGTCCATGAATCAGAGGTTTCAGATTTGCCAACCCCGTAAGCTATTGGCAGTATCCCATTGTTAGCATCCATGGCTACTGCTAATAAGTTTACTACAAGGTATCGACCTTTCAAATGTGCTCCATCAACTATAATAACTGGGCGCATACAAGTAATAAACGAACGAATCTACAAAATCATATACACAAGAAATATAATCATTTAAATATGAAATACATGCAACTAACAAAAATGAGTCAAAAAAATTATAATTATTTACTAATCGCAGTACCAATGGCGATAAACAACAACTCAAAGCGTCCATCTCCATCTGTTTTGATATGAGTTACCGACTCAAGATTTTTCAGCTTTAAATTGTGACAATAAGCCGACAGTTGGGCAAACGATGCTTCTGGCGACCCCCTCAACAATTCCAAGGCATAACATTTGGCTCTCCAAGCTTGAGAATATGAGATACTAATCTTGAACCGAGCATTCATGTTAGTCATAATTTCATGTTCCCGATATACCCTTCCATTCAAAAACATTAACTCAGCCAGAAAATCACCCAACACCTTTTTGTTTGCCTGTCTATGGTGAGGAAAAACTTGGGTTCTTGAACATGTATGTTTATCAATAAAAGTGCTAACTTGAAACATTTCACAATCTTTTATCCTCTTTGCAATCATACGCCACGTACAGTTTTTGTCAATCATACACCTTGTTTCGAAACAATCTTTTCTTGATTTGTTAACTCTTAGTTGATAGCCATCTTCCACACATTTCGTATACAAAGCTATCTTCAAGTCTTCCTTTGTATCAACACAATCATCTTTCTTGATACGAATAACTTTTGTGTAACAATCAACTGATATCTTTACCAACTCTTCTTCCGGTTTCTGAAGTAATTCTGGCATATTCCAGTTATACTCCCGTGGCATTTTTTTCTTTTTCCTTTCTTATTTTTCTTCTTCTTCTTCTTTTTCTTCTTCAGGGTTATATGAATTACAGAATGGATGTTCAACATGTTCATTCATAGTCGTAACTTCCTCCTCATTATCATCAACAACATCTTCCTCGACAGTGGCTGTTTCATCATCAAAATTCGGGTATTGACCAATATCAAAATCATTACATACAGGGTCTGTTTCTTCTTCCATCACAACATCAAAATCCGAGTATTGACCAAGATCAAAGTCTGGGTATTGACCAAGATCAAATTTCGAATACTGACTAGTACTCACAATTTTTTCTGTTGGCTCATAATCGTCTAACTGGTCAATACGAAAACCAGAATTTGGTGCTGAAAGTTGATTGGGATTTGGATTAGGAAAAGGTTGTGGGTTTTGAGATTGTGTTTGATATTGTGTTTGGTATTGGAAATGTGGTGAAACAAAATTTTCTTGGTGATGAAATTGTGGTGGAACCATTAAATTTTGGGTTGAAGAACTTAGTTGATTACTACCCGCTACTAACACAACTTCACTACTTCTAGGTTCAACAACATACAATGTAACATCATCTCCTTGAGAAACACTAATGTAAGCAATGAATCGTTCAACATCTTCATTGTCGGTTAACAAATAAACTTTAGATTTTCTCAGATAAGATAGCCTAAATCCACTTAGAGGCTCTAAATTCAATTTCTTTGCAACACGTAACATTAGAGTTTCATAAGTTAACTTTTTTAATGACAGTTTTAGTTGAAGATTTATGGATAAAGGCACATATTGTAAAACACCATGAACATTCTCCCATGACCCTCCAAAACACAAATCTATCTAAACATGATCAACATTAGATGATTTCATTCTAAAAATTGTAAATTAATTTACTAAACAAACGAGATAAATATCATCACTAACTTAGAGAAAAACATACATTTATTAAGTTGATAGTTGATAATTTGGGAGATAAATCATTGAAAAATTATATAGAAATAAAATTATGTAAAAAAAAATAGAGATGGGGAAGGATGTCGTTGGATATAGGAACGGATGTCGCTGGAGAGAGTGATAGATGGAGATGGAATGAGTTGCGATTTAGGGATTTAGGTTATGAGTTACTGTTGCTGCGTTGTTATATACCCAAAACATTTGTGTTGCGAAACTAAAACCTGTTGCGAAATTAAATTCGCGTTGCGAATTTGAAATTCAGTTGTGAATTTGACTTTCGCGTTGTGAATTTGAAATTCAGTTGCGAATTTGACTTTCGAGTTGCGAATTTAGAAAATCGCAATGCGATTTACATATTCGCGTTGCGAAATTGGAAACTGGGTTACGAATTTGTTGGTCATTTTGACAAATCCAAAAAAAAATTGATTAAATTCATATATTATAAGGCATTTTTTGTCACTGAGGTTATTTTCTCTATAATAAATACAAAGAACAGTGCTTATATGCATTTGTGCCATATGGAAAACGATGACAATAAATGGCGGGGGACACCTGTACATTATAAGACAAAATTATGAATAGCTATGTCTATTTGCTGTGCACCACACATAACCTTGGAAAGCAAAGAACTTAAAATGCACATGAAATATATAACCACATGTTTACTGGACATATGAGTACGCACCATTACAATTAAGTAAAAAGAGGTAAAATAATAATAACAGCTAATTAAAAGAGGAAATTAGGGACATGGATGAATTTGGGCATCGAACATGAAGATCATCAGAAAATTAAAAATAACAATCGCATATCAAAGAGGACTAAAATGAAATTTAACAAAACTACAAGAACTAGAATTAGCGTAAAGAGCTTCAGAAAAATAAAAATAACAATCACATATCAAGGAGGACTAAAATGGAATTTAACAAAACTACAAGTATTAGAATTAGCGTAAACCGCAAACATGCGTAGGACTAAAATAAAAATTAGATAAAATCACATTCTAAATGTAAAACAACATGAGATTAAGAACACTGTAACATAGGACGAAATAGTAATGCGCGTGGAATATGAAGACAAAAAACAATTTGAAAGCTAGATTCGAGAACTAAAGCGCAACAGATTTAAACTAGAAGGGGCTCTCACGCAACTAACCCCACCCAACCGGACATAGACTACCTGGCCTCCCCAAAACGTTGCCGTTTTGGCAGTGCTATATGTAGGATATTTTGGGTGAATGTTTACCCTAGCCACCATTATGCTTTTCCTTTCTATTTCCCTAAATGTTTCCCCTGCGCCGCTTCTCTCAACCCTCTCCCTCTCTTGGCTCGACCGAGAGCCACAAAGGCCTCACGACCTCACTGGTCACCGTAAATCGGTAGCCACCCTTACTCCGGTCGCTGCCTAGCACGATTGAAAAGCCCAAAATACCACCGAAATCGACCTAAAAGCCTTTACTTTCTCTCTATCCTCTTCTCACGGCCGAACCTCCTCCAAGAGCTTGCCACCACCATAAATCAGTGTCTTTCGCCTCTCCGAACGCCACCAACGGTGGTCGATTGAACTTGAATCTAGCCCTAAAACAAAACCTAAGCCCTCTCCTTCCTCTTCTAACCCAAAACAGAGAAGAAAAGAAGCTAACACAACCCCCTTCTAAGCGAGCAGCCGGCGAGGCCTCGATTCCTCAACTTACGAAGGACGACAGACCCCTTCTTGACGTCAAGACCTCAACTACTATAGCTAAAGGTAATAAGAACCGAGCCCCCCCCCCTTTCTTAATACTGCTTTCAGTCCAAAACCAAAAGAAAGTGGAACAAAAAAACGAACCTTGGAGAAAAGAAAAGCTTCCGGTATAATGTTTTTGCTTTTTTTTCTCTAAATATTACATTGCGTTTTCAATGGGGGTCGAGGAGGCTCTTACAAAAATGCTCTCTTTTTCTTTTTTTCTCCTCCCCTTTCTCTTACAAATCGACCCAAAAATTGAATAATCCCCTTTGAATAATCCCCACGAGTCCTGCCAAATTCATACTAGGCCGTTGGGGTCTGCCAACATTGTTTGCAGGTATTGACAGAAGCATGAGTGGACCACTAGTTTTGTGACTTGTTGGTGAGGCTGTCGTGGAGCAGGGGTCACGAGACCAGCGATGTGTTTTCGTTGAGTGCCTGCTTGGACTACCAACGGGAGAGCGTGGTATTGGAACGTGGCTTGTTGTGTGCTGCTCACGTGGGAATAGAGGTGCTGGAATGTTCACACATGGGTGAGGGATCACACGAGCTGCTGGGAGGACTTGGGAACACTGCTCGATGGCCATGGTTCAAGCTGATGAGGCATAAGAGAGCACATGTTTTGTTGTGGAGCTACTGGCGTGTGCTGAGGCATCAACGTTCTGCCAGGGTTATTAACCCGGGAAAAATTAGGTTATTACAAGTTTGAACAGAATTCTTCATTAAAATTTTCAAAGGACAATATATTAGAATTTGAAGCACTGGATGAAAATTCATCGCTTCAAAAAAGTTTATATAAGGTAATAGTTATTGGACAAAGATTAATAGAATTTCTTGTAAAGCCTAGCTGCAGAAGAAGTTGAGAGTGAGATAAGGATTTCTTTGATTTGCCTCAAAGTAGTAATTAGTCACCAAAGAGTTCAATCGGATTGGAAGAAAAAGAGAGAAAATAAATATCAGTTTCAGGATAAAGTGTTATTGAAGTGGAAAAATATTTCAATTTCAATAACAAGAAAAGTAAGCGTCGTAAGGTTTGGTTTAGATCTTCTATGTGTTTCTATACAAAAGGATATTAAGGTTTGAAGGAGTTTGGTTACAAAAATAAGTTATAAGGATGCTAAAGTAAGAAGTGAAGTATGAGAATTCAAGTATTGTTAACTGAAAAATGTTCCCTGAAATAAGTAAAGGGTTAGGATAATTACATAAGAATATGATGGATGCTTGAAAGGTGATACAATGATCCGTTGAACCAGGTGCGTGTGGAAAATCCGAGGATGAATTTTCTTAAGGGGATGAGAATTGTAATGTCCCGAAAATTTTAACAAGTGACTAAATTATAAATTTTGAAAGTTGTTGGTTAAAGTATAAAATTAGAAAAATTTAGGAATTTAAATTGTAATTTGAAAAAGTTATATATTTTAGTCCCATAAATGGATAGTTTACCTTAAAAGATGGATTTTTATGCCTATCAAATTTTCGATTCGAAATTTGTAGAAAACGCTATTAATCAGTAAAGTTTTGTAAAATAATCAGATATCCGGATCGAATAAAAAATTTACAAAAATTTGAAGGATGGTAGTAAAATGTTAAAAATGTTATTTTTAATGCCTAGGAATTAAATTGCAAGTTTTTGGAGATTTAGTGCTGAAATTGCAAGATTAATGTACTAATTTGGAAATATAATGAAATTAGTTGAGTATGATGGTTGTTAAGGATTAAAGTGAATAGTAAGGACCAATTTGACAAGTTTTGAAATATGGGGGGTTTAATTTGAAGAAATGCGTAATTGTGGGTTAAATGTTAAATTTTGAAATGTTAAGTGATTTAAGGTTGAGAATTATTATTTTCAAGGACTAGGAAGGTTTTTTTTTGCAAGAGTTGAGTAAAATTGATTTAGTTATTGAAATTAGCATCGAATATTTATTTACCGTATTTTATCAGATTGTATACGAATATGTATTTAATAAGTTCGTTAGACACTTACGTATGTTCTAAATTGTTTATGCTGGATAAATCATTTTTAATTAGGCCGTGAGTGAAATCGAGAACAAAATGAGCAAAAAGAAAAAGGAACGGAGTTCAAGAGTGAATTTGGTTAAGGTTGATTTAGATTTCGGGGTAAAAAATAGTATTGAATGTTCCTTAGTCAAATTTTTAGAATTACGATTCGAATTTAATTTTATTATAATAGTGCGAGTACTAATGTATGTGAATCGTTTATATGTTGAAAATCGATGATCGAGTATAGTTAGTGATTATAATCGAGATCAAAATGAATCAGATAGGAGGGTTATAAAGGTGATTGTAGGATAAGTTGGTGGGGCACTAGGTGAGTGCAACTTACTTATTTTATATTCGATATGAGGATGGCTTGAGATGAGCCAACCTCGAAGGTTTTCAATTGAAACAATTTGAATTATTTTATGAAATATTTTTATATTGATTTACTAAATGGGTTTTTATATGATTTTGGGTTTGAATAACCCAAATTATTTTGTTCTGTATTTTATTTCATAACATGTGAATATTTTTGTGTATGAACTGCCCAGATCTGGTTTTATATAAATGGTTTTATATTCGATTATATGGATGAATGGTTTTATATGCAAATTAGTAATTGATTTAGAACAAAGCCCATTGTATAAAAAATGAAGGTTAGTGGTAAAATGGCATGCCATGAGGTGGAGTGAATCTGAATATGTTTTGATATTGCACCAGTGTGTATCAGTCGTGGTCTGACTCGACGTACCTTAGTGGTGCACGAGGTGGAGTGATTCGGTGCATCCGATTATCTTTATATGTGCATTATATGGCACCAAGATGGGTCACTCGTGGTCTAACTCGAGTTTCTTAGTGGTACACGAGGTGTAGTGATTCGGTGCAATCTGTTCTGATAATAAATTTGTATATAGTGTGCTCACTCATTATCTGACTCGCGTACCGTGTATTCTCATGATAATACTATAACATCCAAAATACAGGGCTAGTGACTAAAATGTAAAATTTGAAAACTTTATGCTCAATTTTGAAATAAGTTAAAAGTTTAGGGATTTAATTGGAAACTTTGAGAGTAGGATTGATTAGTAAAGATGGAAAAAAAAAGGAAAATGTTCATTTGGCAAGAAAGATTTTTATCTTTCCTTGGTGGGCTATAAAACACGTGGGGATTAGGAGGAAAAAGGAAAAAAAGTCTGGAGAATGGGTGGAACTATCTTCTTCTTCTTCTTCTTCCCGTGTCACCTTGAATAAGGTAAGTTGGTCTCAAGTTAAAATTTCCTTTCATTTTTAAATTGGTTTTGATTCTAGAGATTATAGAAAAGCTTAAGGGAGGCTTTAGATTACTTAAAACTTAAAGAAGGATAAGTTATGGAAGATTGAATATAAAGAGTTTTTAAGTGAATTGTTGAAAAAGAGGTTGTTAATGGATTTAGAAGTCATATTGGACTTGTCAAAGGTATAATTAAGAAGTATGAAGTGATAGAAATGAATTTAGAACATGTTGATTTATTGGCTTGATTATTGAATTCAAGTATGTATGTGGGATATTGAATATTAGGATGAGTTAAAGTGATCTAAGTTGATTAGAATAAGTGTAGTTAAGCTTAAAGAACTTAAATGAGGTTCTAGTATAAGATATAAGTAAGTTTGGGTGAATTTTCGAGTTAAAAATATGAATTCTAGGCATGAGGTATCGATACTTCCAAGAGAAAAGGGTCAATATTTGAGAGAGGGTATCGATATCATATAAATGAGTATCGATACCATAAGGCAGAAATTTATAAATTTTTCATGGGGTATCGATACCTAGGAAGGTAGTATCAATACCAAGGGTACCGATACCATAAGATAAATATTGGTACCAGTTTTGAAATAAGGATTTCGAATTCAAAATGGGTATCGATACCCAGGCTTTGCATCGATACCACAGCTAGGGAAGTATCGATACCCTACATGGGCACTGATACTGCTCCAAGTAGAAAAGAGAATTAAGCCTTTCTTTTGGTGTAAGAAATTAAGGATCGAATTATAATAATTGGAATGTTGATATGTATATTATATGTATGATTGTGTAGATATCTATCGAGAGTGAAGTCCGGACAAGTCAACAAGTATTAGTCATCGAGAAAAAGATAAGAGATCAGTATTGACTAGTGAGGCCAGGTGAGTGCATATTAGATAGTATATGATGTTTAAAGGAAATAAGATTTGTGTCAAGTCTATTTCCTATAGTAGAATACATGAACTCATTAATATGAGCATATGTTTGACATGATATATGCGTGTTATTGATTATTGCATATGTTATATGATATACGTGAGTACATGTTAGTTAATTGTGAATGAGTATAAATGATATAAGTGATGATATAAAATCTGTTATAAGATATATGATATGAACATAAGAGATCATATGAACATGGGATATGTGATTATGAATGAAATGATATGAGTTATATGAAAATAAGTAATGTGTTTACATGATCATAAGATATGAGACATGACATGAGATATATGAGAGAAAGTATATTTGATATATGAATGTGTATATGTGACAAACATAAAAGACAATGCCCATGTTATTTTCTATAAGAGCTAGGGGTATAGTTGGTATGCCAAGAGTCGAGGGTTCTACGTGGTTCTTCAGGACATATATGTAATCCTTTGGAGCATATATGTGGTACTTCGGTACACTTATTTGGTCCATTGGAATATGTATATGGTTCTTAAGGAGGGGTCATTCGGGACATATGTGCTATATATGGTCCTTCGGGACAAATTCACATGCCACTCAGTAGATTTTATACGAGTTGTGGTGACAACATGTGCACAACCTCTATGTACTCACATATCTTTAGTTTTCACATGTGTACATGGGTTAATACAAAGATAACAACTAATACCATATATGTGCTTTATATACTTATGATATATGAGATGAATTATAAAATTATATGATGATATGTGTATTGTTTGGTTAAGAATGTTAGGTATAAGAGATATGAATGATAACAATGCTAATAATGATAAGAATAATAAAAGGATAATAAGATGATATGTATATATATGTATTTATATTTTAATGTATAATGTGTTTTATAGTTTAATATGATTACATGAAGTGTGCATAGTAGGAATTTAGTAATGAGATGTTATAGTTAAGTTTATTTATGCCTCACTGAGTCATCGACTTAGCTTGTGAGTCTTTCACACGTAGGTTCCGGGAAGCAAGAAGAGAAGCTAAGGGGAGCAAGGCAGGTCAGATTCTCCTTTCCAAAGATCAGATCAAAAATGTATTTGAATACATGTATTTTGTTACATAGAATGTAGTTGGCATGCAGTCTAAATATTATAATTATATAAGCTTTGATTTGTTTTGTAAAACCAATTGATTTAATTAATACAAAATATTCATTTTCTTGAATTGTGTAGTTAAATTTTAGTCAATTTGTTAAGAAAAACATTTTGAAAAGTCAATGTGACACCTCGGACTTGGATCCGGGTCGGATACGGGTTGAGGGTATTACATTTAATGGTATCGGAGCTAAGGTTTAGCCAATTCTAGGCTTAAACCGAAGTTAAATGAGTTTTAAAATTTGTACATGTCAATCCAAAGTGAATTTTTTTTATCTGATAGTTTAAGGAGTATGATGTCTTGCTAATAGAATAGTAGGGTTATGTTATATGAGATGTCTAGCCATAAGAATTTTCGAAGAAAAGTGAGAGGTGATGAACCTGATGGTGGTAGTTATTCACTGCCCTG